GTTTACTAGTAAATACAGTGCCATTACGAAGTTCCCATAGGGGGGTATATAATGACGTAAAATTCACTAAAGAAATCCTAAAGTGCTTTTCCCACCACCTTTCCCGTAGGATTCTACAAACAAAGAGCATGAGTCAGGATAAGGAAAAATATGTAATTTTCTGAATAAAATTGATATTTTATACTTATCCTGACTCATGAGGTAAGCCCACCCATCCTCCCCTCTAGACACTTTGGATTTCCCTGCAAATTCAAGTGTCTGGCTCATAATCAGGAGAGAGTGAGGCATGAGGGCACGGTGGCGCCACAGTTTCCCACCTAAACGGCTGGAGAGATAACTCTTGGTAGGAGTGATTTTACGTCTATTCTTTATTGAAGGGAGCTTCAATAGGAGATACAAGTGTTCCACTATGTTCGCAAGAAGAAGAAGACAAGCAAAAGAGCATGAGTCAGGATAAGTGTAAAATATCAATTTTATTCAGAAAATTACATTATTGTCCCCCGCCAGAACGGGGGACTATGTATTCAGCGGTGTCCGTCCGTATGTCCCGATTCTTGTTAAAGCGATATCTCATTAAACTGTTGTACGCAATGTCTTCAAATTTGGTGACAGCCTACATTGGAAGATTATGCAGACACCAGTCGATTTGGGTGACCTTGACCTTATTTTCAAGGTCACCACGACACTTTGACGACTTTTCAAACTCTTGTTAACGCGATATCTCATGAAATGTTGTACTCGATGTCTTGAAATTTGGTGACAGCCTACACTAGGGGATTACGCAGACACCAGTGGATTTGGGTGACCATGACCTTATCTTCAAGGTCACCATGACACTTTGCACGCTTTTAACTCTTGTTAACACGATATTTCATGGACTGTTGTACCCGATGTCTTCAAATTTGGTGACAGCCTACATTGGGGGATTTCACAGACACCAGTTTATTTAGGTGACCTTGACCTTATTTTCAAGGTCACCACGACACTTTGAACACTTTTCAAACTCTTCTTAACACGGCATCTCATGGACTGTTGTACCCAATGTCTTCAAATTTGGTGACAGCATACATTGGGGGATTACGCAGACACCAGTTGATTTTGGGTGACCTTGACCTTATCTTCAAGGTCACCACGACACTTTTCACACTTTTAACTCTTGTTAACGCGATATCTCATGGACTGTTGTACCCAATGTCTTCAAATTTGGTGACAGTTTACATTGGGGTATTACACAGACACCAGTTTATTTGGGTGACCTTGACCTTATCTTCAAGGTCACCACGATACTTTGACCACTTTTTAAAGGCAATATCTCATAAAACATTGCCCCCAATGTTTTCAAGTATGTTGACAGCTTACATTGGTTGATTATGCAGAAACCAGTCATTTCAGGCATCTTGTATGTGACCAAAAAATTAAAAGTAGTAAATATAGATATTCCATTCTTTAGCGGCAGGGGACATTGCCATATCAGTGGCAAACACTTGTTATTATTTAATGTGACAGTACTGTGGTCAGTGGTCATTGTGGTGATAAAATAAGACTGTCAACATGGACAAACATGTCAAAGATTTAATTTGTAGTTATGCACCACAGATACTGAATAATACATCAACTGCTGACTTGTCATTGTTTATGTTACACAATATCTGTATTCATTACTCAGTATTCATGATGTGCATCATAATTGCCACATAGTGGATCCATTGTAGCCCTAGTGTCTTCCATGTAGATCAGTGATCCAAATATCCTGAAAAGTGCTTGCCTCAGATTCAACAGACCGAAAGTATTTCAGACTGCAAGTCTGAATGTGATTACCAGTACCCAGTCTCAGAAACTAGGCTGACTTGGTTGACACGTCATCGTATTTCAATTGCATAGATCGATGCTCATGCAGTGGATCACTGGGTTGTCTGGTCCAGACTCCATTATTTAAAGACTGCCGCCATAGAGCTTGAATACTGCTGAGTGCGGCGTAAAACTAAACTCACTCATTCACTGCCGTGAGTAGGCTGGATTAAGCAACCTATCTGAAACTACTACTGTCATATCACTGTCAGCTTAATGTTTAGTAACAGGAAAGCTTGAATATAGTGTGAAACGTTTACTAAATTGGTGTAAACGATAAGACTGAAACATCCTGGATTGTTAATACTTAATACTTTTCACCTAACCCATACAACTGCCTATTTTCGTGAGATAATGACTTGTGATAGTCAAGTAGAGGTGACAATCCTCCAGATCTACTGAACTGCATCCATTATTCATGTCCTCTTTCACTAGATCATGGGAAGGTTCAAGATGTATTCTCACAGGAAAACCATCACAGGCTAATGTAAACCTTTAGTTGATCCCAAGAAAGATTAGAATTACAATGTATGTCTCAAAAAGATATTTCTGTTGAAACTGATAAACATCTGTAGAAAAGTAAGAGCAATAAAATGAACACATTTTACGTTTCAATGGACCAAGAGATTGGTCCCATGACTGTGAAATTGACTGTAATAAGTATATGAACATCACATTAAGACATGCATAATTTGGCATGAGACAATATTCTAGAAATAACGGAAACGTTGTCTGAATCATCCATATTCATCTGGAACTGCCTGGGAATTCTCTTGCATAAAAAAATCTACAATCATGATTGGATTGGAAAAAGACTGCATGCCCGTGAAAGAGTATTGTCACTTCTTGTCCTCTTACAATCCAGTCATGTATTCAGTGAATCGAGCCATATTCCTTCATGAATTCAATATGTTATTCGTGAACACTAAAATCAAATACAGTAAAATCCTGATGAGTCGAATCGCTGGGAACCAAGTAATAAATTCGACTTATCGATGTATTCGAGACATAGGTATGTCTATGAGGGTAGAAAAAAAGATGATGGAGTCCTAATTCCTCCGCCTAAGCATTTGTTTATCTAATGATGTCCCTATCACTAATAGGGGCACCTTTTCAGTTCCAGTCTGATTAGCACAGACAGTGATTTCCGTAAAAAAACTAATCTGCCTTTTGAGCTCACCCGTCAATGGCGGAAAGGTGTGAGCCGAGCTGGTTTGTTAAATGGATCAGTTTGCTACACCAATCAACTTCTCATTGACTGACTTCGGCTTTTGTATACAAGATTGCTGTTGTTTGAATCTCATGGGACCAAATTTCCTTCCCGAGTCATCGTGTGTATTTATGAGACGAATTCGTGTTACCGGAAATCAAATGATAACAACTATAACAGGGAATGGTCGGGACCGACCGGTACTTCGAGTTATGCATAATATTCGAGACGCCGGCATTCGACTCATTGGGATTTGACTGTATTTACAAATTATTTTATAACATGTTTTGTATTTGGGACTTGTCTGTTATTTATCAACGTGAGATATGCTAAATGGAATGTATGCCTGACCCCAAATGGTTCCGTCATTAAACTGTAAGCAACATTGTCACTTTTTTCGCCTTACAAAAAAATATCATTGAAATCTTTCAACCTGAGCAAGTACCTGACATGTTTGTTGGTTTAATTCCTTGACATCAGACAAAGAATTCATGAATAAATAGTTCTATTACACGTTAGTTGTTTTCATAACCCTATATTGCCTCTGAGTACATTTGTTGCAGTCCAAGTCTGTACTTCCAATATTACTGAACAATTTACAGGCACAAGGACTGAAACAATCAACTCATTGACAGTCAACAACAGGCTACAGCTATCTATCAACTTACTTCAACAACTATCCAGCACCTTTGATAATCACATTAATATGATCAGCCAGTTCTGAATAGGTTAAAGATTTAAAATGTTAAACCTTGGTGTTTTGAGCACATATGAACTTAAATAGTCTTTCTTCATTTTTTTTTGAGGAAATAGCTTTCTTATAAACATGCTCAATAATGTACATGCTTGCTGCAACATTGATAGTTTGGTCTTCAGTCTTTGAATGTACATACTCCAATAAACTACCTGTTAGTGATAGTCAGTTCTTAGATAACTGAAATGCTGTTTCATACTCAATAAAACCCAACCTCACTCACTCGCGTGTGTTTGCGGTGTGTTCGCAGCGCGCGCGTTTGCTCGCTTCACTCACACACTAACTCAGCTCCAGCAGACATTTGGCATATGACTTCACTAAATGTTTGAGCTCCAGTCTGTGATATTGTGTCTGCTTACTGAATGGTGTTGAGAACCCAGATGAGATACACTATTTTATTACCCACGTGGTCAACGTATGGGTAGTTGCATACTAATCTCGTACGTCACACGAGTGTCGTATGGCGTTGACTTGTGTCGTAACGACTTGACCTGAGATTCTAACGATTTGATTGGATAACCGATGACCTCTCAGTTAGGTCACATTGTAACGGAACTACTTGTTCATTCATAATAAACACGTGAATTCATTCATTCTATAACTTAGATGCATTGTGGGATTGTAAACATTGTGAACGTTACCGTGTCGCTGTTTAATTGTGAGTCGAACTGAGACATTATATCTGTCGAAAAACATAAAGGGGGTGCTACGGAGTAGTTTACTGTAGGAGGTTGTACGAGGCGATGACAACTGACATGCATCGTGACGTCAGTTACCAAGGGGATAGACAAGAATGGCGTAGTGACGTCAATACAGTGTGACGTCATGCAAAAGTGACTACAGAACAAAATTCTTCCGCAAGCTCTTTATGAAACCAGTTTCGGTTTGAAACCATAACAATAACAAAAATACGTTATTTTGTCAATTTAATGCATGTAAAACGTGGGTAATAAATGAAATACCACACTCGGTCTCCTAACATACGAATTATACGAAACTCGTGACCTTCCTATGGTTTCTGACCTAGCTTTCGCTCAGTCAGATACCATAGGAAGGACACTCGTTTCGTCCAATTTGTATGTAATGAGACCTCGTGTAGTATTCTCTATTTATGGCGTTGTTACTGTTGCAGCACTGTGAGATGAGATGAGATGCATTGTGTGATGTGTGATGTTGTTTCCATTACAGCGCCTGCTGACCGGTGTGGACAACCTGGAGGAGGTGCACTCTCTGGAGATGAAGGTGGACACCACAGAGACCAGCCTGGGCAACTTCGGGGGACTGCTGCCCAATCTCCGCCAACTCAAGCTGTCTGACAGTATCATCTCAGGAATCAGGTACACATGACCAGTTGGACGTGCTTCATGACACCTACACTAGCGCTCATCTCTGAATATATATCATTTGATAGCAACAAATAATTCATTTTAAATTGCAAAGGAGCCCCATTGAGATGGGAGATGAACCTGAGAAAATCGAGACTTGCTTCATTTAGGGCTTTAGTAGTACAGAAAGGATGGGTGGCAGGGAAAATAATGTGATTCAAGGACTGTGAGACAGACTAGATGACACCTACCATTGTAAAAGGAAGAAAAATCTGTCATTAATCATAGCAGCTGGTTTGTCACAATTATGAGATGGTCATTCCATCAACACAAGTGAGTGAGTTTAGTTTTACGCCACACTCAGTAATATTCCAGCTATATGACAGCGGTCTGTAAATAATAGAGTCTGGACCAGGCAATCCAGTGATCAACAGCATGAGCATCGATCTACGCAATTGGGATACAATGACGTGTCAATTAATTCATTGAGTCTGACCACCTGATCCCGTTGGTCATCTCTTACGACAAGCATGGGTTACTGCAGATCAGGATTAAATTGTTGGTGTGGATTAATAAATGTGATTGGAAAAGGATAAAATACAACTAAAATACTGTTCAAAGTAACCTAAATCAAACCTCACCCTGGAAGTATTTTGTTTTTTAGTTGACAGTTATTGCAGAGCTCGACCGCCTCTGCTGTGTAGTGGTTAGAGCGGAAGGTCACAGGTTCGATCCCTGGCCGCATCATACCAAAATACGTTAAAATATGGTACTTGTTGGTCCCTGCCTGGCACTCGGCATTAAAGGGTAAAACATGGACTGGTCGGCTCGGAGTCAGTATGTAATGTGTCTGAGTGGGGTATTCATGCTTCACTGTGGCATGGTATCTCAGTGGGCTAGCACTATAAAACCAGCTAAAGCCTGGACTAGTAGAACACATACACACGCATGCACGTCGTCATATGAGCCAAATATTCTCAAGTACGACGTTAACCCCCATTTCACCTCACCTATTGCTGAGATCCTTCCCACAAGGAGTAGAACTGATCAGTGGTGAATCATGTTTTTCAGGGACATTGGGTCCTCTCTACGAGGTCTGCGGGTCTTGTGGATGTGTCGGTGCGGGTTAAGCGAGCTGGACGGAGTAGCCTCCTTAACCAGTCTTAAGGAACTCTACCTTTCGTACAATGATATATCCGACATCAGCCCCATCAGCATGATCGACACGTTAGAGATCCTGGACCTGGAGGGGTAAGTACAGCATGGTCACACATTGTCGATCAGGGATTTACATGGAGTCCTATATTGGAGGGTCCCTGGGACTCGTACTCTTTATTTTAAGGCGTCCTGGACTACAAAATGGGGGGTTCCAGACACTTAAATATTATTATTAATAATATATTGTAACATTGTTGTAATTCAGTTACTGTTATTGTATTGTGTATCATGATCGTCACATTGTTACAGTAATTAAATTGCAAATGATACCATAACCCATCTAGTAGCAGACTCAGTGATAACTTCTTGTTACTTGATCGAAATTTTTACAAACAGTATTTGGGACTTTTTCTGCATCCCTGTGGATGCGCTAATAAATTTCATTGCGTTCATTGTCAATTTTTATGCATATAGGACGCAGGAATTCGGGTCCTATAAATCCCTGGTCCAGTTCCATTATAGTCCAAGCATACTCAGCACACTTAAGTCATAACACATAGGACTGCACGGTATTACCCGTATGCCGGTATATCGCAATACACCTTTAAACGATACATATTGCAATGTTTTTTGTCAGAACCGGTATATTGGATAATAACGATATATGAAGTTTTGTGATTGTTTTAAGTTAAAATCTGCAGAAATTTTAATTCATACTGAATTTTCCATTGTAATTATTTCCAGCATACTTTATGTACAATAATTCAAGAAAAAGAGAAGAAAATCCAATCCCTCAAAATCAAATATAAGTTCGAGATTTGTTATCACAACCATAATATATATTTTTAGGGCTTTAGTCTCTGATGTATAATCAATGTCACTGTCAAACTCTGAAGCTCCCAATATATAGCAATGCGTATCAGAATACGGGTACCTGAATCGCAATATACTGCAGTTCATTTTATTTGCCAATACACATCCCTAATAGTGCAGTTTCTAAGATGATGAGGTTGATTATGATATAACAATTGATTGGGTTACCCATTATCATTCAAGAAGCTTTTCAAAAAGCATCTGTTATGGATTAAAAAAATAAGGGTAAGGTGCTCTCACTGTGTCCGTGTAAGTAATCCATGCAGTGTTCCATAGGTCAAGGACTGTTTATTTTCTGACTGAAGAATCAGCTGGAATACTGCTGACGGTCTTGCAAGACAACATTCACTTTCCACTTAATCCTTCTCAAGAAGAATAACACATCACACTCTTGAAAATATTTGGAGAAACTCCTGGATTACATACGTTTGGTTTTTGACCTGGCAATTGGATTCTGTCACATCCGACATCTTGTGGGACCGCCTCTGTGGTGTAGTGGTAAGAGCGTCCGCCCGGAGAGCGGAAGGTCGCGGGTTCGATCCCCGACCGCGTCATACCAAAAGACGTTAAAATATGGTACTTGTTGGTCCCTGCCTGGCACTCGGCATTAATGGGTACAAAAAGGACTGGTCGGCTCAGAGTCAGAATAATGTGTCTGAGTGGGGTATTCATGCTTCACTGCGGCATGGTATCTCAGTGGGCTAGCACTATAAAACCAGCTTAAGTCTGGGCTAGTACAGACCCGTGAAGATCCGGGGTAGAATAGGTCTTCAGCAACCCATGCGCTTGCCATAAAAAGGCGACTATCTTGTCGTAAGAGGCGACTAACGGGATCGGGTGGTCAGTTTCGCTGACTTGGTTGACACATGTCATCAGTTCCCAATTGCGTAGATCGATGCTCATGCTGTTGATGACTGGATTGTCTGGTCCAGACTCGATTATTTACAGACCGCCGCCATATAGCTGGAATATTGCTGAGTGCGGTGTAAAACTAAACTCACTCACTCACTCACTGGGCTAGTACAAGCAGCGGCACATACACATACACATACACACGCATGCACGTCGTCATATGAGCAAAATATTCTCAAGTACGACATTCAACCCAATTTCACCTCACCTCACCTCACCTCACCCTCACCTCACCTCACCTCACCTCACCTCACCTCACCTCACCTCACCTCACCTCACCTCACCTCCGACATCTTGTTGAATCCTTTTGGTTTGTTTTGTCATCAGAAACTACATTAATGACGTCAGCCAGATCCAGTACCTAGCCATGTGTCAGAGTCTAAAGAGTCTTTCCTTGGAGGGCAATCCAGTCTGTCTCATGCCCCATCCAGAATCTCAGCAGGTGAGTATATCTCGTGTTAGATCTTTGCACTTCTGTCAATCTCTCCTTACCCGTGAAGGTCCGGGTTAGAATGAACCTTCAGTAACCCATGCTTGTCGTAAGAGATGACTAACGGGATCGGGTGGTCAGACTCGCTGACTTGGTTGACACATGTCATTGGTTCCCAATTGAGTAGATCAATACTCATGCTGTTGATCACTGGATTGTCTGGTCCAGACTCGATTATTCACAGACCCTGAGGGGGAAATCTCAATTTAGCCCAATAATAAGCGTGACTTAATTAAGTCTTTACAACTGAGAGAGAAGGACTAAGTGACAGTCAAGTCATATTGTCCTCCTTCAGGGCTCAAAGTCACTTGTTAATTACTAGTCTTTGCTAGTGAAATTTTATAATTCCTATAAAAACTTTTAAAACCCTTATATTATGATTTAACTAGAATATCTTGAAAACTTTTGTCTGCAAAGTAACTCAAATTCAACAATTGTTTTTTTTAGCCAGTGGACTTTCAACTTATCTTTTTAAGCAAGCTCTTCAGAATGTGAACCTGCCACCACCACACCTCCCAGGAGCAATTTTCAAAAACTTGACCATCTCTTTATATACAATGTCCTGGGTCACCTCATGGAACTGTGTGATTGTATCTGAAAAAAGATTATTCCCTTGTTAAATATGTAAGTCAGTATCTCATATGAGATACATTAAAGAAAGTTTGACATTATCAGCTATGCTTTTGTAAGAGCTTTAAGATAATTGTAGAGAACATTGAGAATTACACTTGTGTGTTGACCACATCTACATATCTGTACACTGTAGGGCTGGTGGACTACCCAAAAATCTTAAAAAACAACAACATTCAAAACAGGCCAGTGGATATATGCCACACGCTCTGCGCATGCACATAGCGAGTTGAAAAGTAATGTGAAACCAACGAATTCATGAAGTCGACGGTCTGGTGATTTCGACGATTGCATATAAATTTGAAAAGTTTTCGATCGCCGGGGTACAGACAATTACTCCAATAATATAACACATTTAAGTGGACAATTGTATCCTGGACAGAAAATTATAAAATGTTAAATAACAACAATATTCTGAAAAACAGTTTAACATGGATGAGATTTATAACCATTTATGGAAAACATAAACAAGCACAACCATTTTTTTTACTCTGTCGTCCCTTGCATGCAGCTAGATCTCGATTCTAGGCTTACTGAAGGCGTATAACTAAGTAAGGAACAGAGCTCCAGATAAGATTTAGCTCAATTGTTTGGAGTGGGTATTATGAATGTTGAGTGGGTATTTCATTTTCCGTTACCCACTGCTTTCAAATATGTGCGTATTTCAGTCATATTACTCACCTAACTATATGTCATTGAGTAAGTTTACTAAGCAGGTATGTTCTGCCTTATGTCATACCTAATCAAAACCAACTTAAATATAATGTAAATGGTTTCATAAAAAATCACTCATCCTATACTGACAGTACAACACTTGTCCTATACTAACAGTACAACTTGATAGCAATCGATGTTTTTTTCATTACGCAAGCGATTTTTATAAATATATTACGCCGTACACATTTGTTTTAAACTTTTTGCGTATCTAACATTTTAATTGTGTAATTGGTACGCCACAATTATTTTCAGTGCTTAATTGGAAATTTTCTTTGCGTATTTTACCCGGATACGCAGCTTATCTGGGTCTCTGAAGGAACATGCCAACTACATAAAACTGTCTTACCGTGAATTGCTTGTAGAGATGAAGGAACATCGAATATTGAGTAAATTTTCAAGAAACCACAACACGAGGTCAAACACGTGGGAAAAGAGCGCATGCGCAGAATGCAGCAGCGACATCTGGATGTCTAGGGGCCGCAACTCTGGTCCGTACTACTGGTTAACATTAATAGCCTGTACAGTCTTCGATCTGGATTCAAGTTCGAATCCCTTCAAACAGAATATCATAAAGTTGTTTTAAGAAAGAATTAATACTTTTTACAGGATGGTAACACTTATTGTTGCTGGGTTTATTCAAATATTATGCGTTAAATTCTCATATCCACAAAATATTGCAAAACCATGAAAAGTTCTTCATTTTACACACCTAACTGTAAAAAGATCTTCTGTTGCACATTTAGTGAAGAAAACTTATTTCAAGAAGGAATACAAATTAACTAATAACAAAAAATGAAGAAAATGCTGGTCGAACTTTAGACATCTATTAAACGTTGAATCAACCTCTAGGCTTAGACGTCGAAATGGGTATCGCTTGAATCAACGCCTAAAAGACTTTGTTATACCGCCTAAACCAGATTTATACCTCATTTAGACATCTGATAGACGCCTTGTGCCTGCTGGGGAGTGAGTTAATATTTAGCATCACATCGGCAATATTTCAGCCAATTTAGGACGAGAACAATTTATAAAAATATCAATATTAAAATCAATAAATTGAGAATGTAAAATACCTGTCATCGAAGGAAAGTAAAACTACTAGAGTGTCACAGCTGTTAATTAAAACTAGTATGCTATCATAAGAATATATCACTATAGACAACAGGACACTGTAAAAATGGGCTATAGATCACCAGCAACTGAAGGTAGGTCACCATACTAGGGACCATGGGGACTTACAGTACCTTTGCTACCTGCATGGACCATAGCCAAATTTATATCAACCCTTCAGCAGCTGGTGATTGTAGTCAAATTTAGACATAAATTAAAATGACAAAAATACTACTTTTAAAAAATGTGGTAGATTTAAATTTCCTTTGAATGTTTCGGGACTTACATACCCTCCCTGTGTAGAAAAAACTTAGAGAGTTTCCTAATTTTGAAAGGTATTGATATTTTTGCAGACAAACTATAACTACAGGGAGTATGTGAAGAAAGTCTTGCCTAACCTACAAGTTCTGGACGAGGAGCCACTGCTGGACGGGTCAGCTACTGACCGTAAGCCCAATGCCTTTGAGGATGACTGGGCTTACCTGGAGGAACTGCAGAGAGATGCCTTGTTGATGGAGTCCCTCATTGACACTGTAAACATTGGTACAGAGACAGGTGAGCCCACTCACACAGGGAGACATGATTCTATTTGAATCTGGGGTGGTGGGTAGCCTAGTGGTTATATGCTCAGCCATCACGCCGAAGACTGGGTTTCGATTCCCCAGATGGGCACAATGTGTGAAGCCCATTTCTGGTGTTCCCCGCCGTGATGTTGCTGGAATATTGCTAAAAGTGGCGTAAAACAAAACTCACTCACTATTTGAATCCACACTGAATGGTTTCCAGGCAACAAATTCAGCAGAAGTGATATGCCAAAACAGTTGTTCTCTGTTAATCAATCTCTTTACATATATCTGCCAAAGAGAATTTGATTAATTTTGTTTATGGTCTAAGGATTTTGTGAGGGTGCAATAGATGTCAAAATAATTAGCTCACCTGAACAATGGCTTTGAATTTTTGTATTTTTTCTTATCCTGACTCATGATCTTTTGCTTATCTCCCTTTCCTTGCGAATGGTAGTGGAAACACTTGAATCCCTTGAAGTTCCCAAAGCAGACCTAACAATACACTCACCCACGAGTTACTCCTTTTTCCTCCGTAAACAGTCATGTGACCAGCCTTACTTGTCACTCTCTCCCTTTTCGCCCAAGCGGATGGTTGGCCGAGCACTGGAGTCCCGTATACGGCATTATATCCTTTTTATCTAGATCCTATTCTTCAAAATTACTCTGTGTATGGATTTGGCTATAATTACTTTGTATTATATGTGAAAAAATTGTAAAAATTATTTGTATTTGTGTCATAATTTCATCGTAATGTAACTTGTTTACATTTCATGAATCTTGCAGTGTTTGCAGGCACAGGTTATCCGTGGCTGATCCTCACCCCCAATGCCCCTCGTGCATCAAACCATGTTCTTCCAGCTTGCGCTGTACTCATTGTGTTGATTTATCAAATCTACAATTTAATCAATATTTGTCTTATATCTATAGACGGGCCATGGATCGGGTGAGGAAGTCATCACAAGTCACGGCTGATAAATCAGGAGATCAGCCTGCAAACCGTATGTTGCTTGTTACTGCTGAAATTCATAATACTGGTGCTATGTTGAGTACGTTGCAGGGGCAGTCGTCTGGTACGGGGGCGAAGAAGAGCTCGGCTACAACGCAGTTGACACCGGCTCAAAGTAAGAAAAAGACGTCATCTTCTTCTACGTCGCAGAGGAGAGCATCTGTTACCAGATCGGAGGGTAAATCTACGCGGCCTAGTAAGTCAACGCATCAGTAATCCTTCAACGAAGAGATTTTACCTCCGCATGAAGTAGAAGTTTTTTGATGAACCCCCGCTACTTCTACCCGATCGGTACCTACAAGATCGGCACGCAGACTCAATCGACTTCCACGACTACTAGATCGTATCCTGCAACTGCCACAGCAGGCAGCTGTTTGACGAACTACCACCAACTTCTCAACGGAGTGAAGTTGAGGCACACAACTCATCAGCGTTCGCGTACGCTTCATCTACACCGCAGCAGCTTCAATCAACGCAGAACTTTGATCCGGGTGAATTTATGAGGCAATTCACCAACCAGATGATGGCCATGATAGAACATTGGTTCGAGGAAGAGGAACCTCTCATCTGCTGACAACGTGCGCAAACCTATGGGCTTGCGCGAACCCACGGACCTGCGCGAACCTACTCCTCAGAGAACTACGTCTCAAGACTACGTTGACGAACGTATACCTTTGCAAAGGTCTCCACAGTCTGACGACTCTGTCATCTTGGAGGAGGATAGAAGACATGAGAAGCCTTCTCACACTTCAACATCTGCGAACCCTCAACGTTCAAGAACACCTAAGGATCCATCTCCTACACCAAGCCGCTCTAGATCAAGGTCTCATATCTCTCACAGACGTTCGCGGAGTCACTCATCACGAGACAGAGGTTCGTGAAGAGAAGGCTCACGCCACAGAGGTTCAAGAGATGTATCCAAGAGAGGACTCTCAAGATATACGTTCGCGAAGGGAGGAATCTACAGATAGAGGTTCGAGAAGGCAGGGTTCGCGATAGGAAGGTTTGCGAAAGGAAGTTTAGAGAAGAGGCAACGCAGACATCTACAGGGTTCGCGAGCCTAGGGCTTGCAAACCCTCAGATCAACAGACGATATCAGTAACACAGACATTTACAAATCAAAAGGCGATATTAGCAACGCAGGCATCTACAAGGTTCATGAACCCAAGGGTTTTCGAAACCTCAGATCAACAGGCAGATATCAGCAAAGCAGACATCTACAAAGTTCGCGAACCCTCAGATCAACAAGCAGATACCAGTAATGTAGACATCTACAAGGTTCGTGAGCCTTAGGATTCCCGAACCCTCAGATCAACAAGCAGATATCAGTAACGCAGACATCTCCAAGGTTCGCGAACTCTCAGATCTACAGGCAGATAACAGCAACACAGACATCTACAGGGTTCGCGAACTCTCAGATCTACAGGCAGATAACAGCAACGCAGACATCTACAGGGTTCGCGAACCCTTAGATCAACAGGCAGGATGTTGATGTAGACTCTATTACCATACGGCTGAATAAAACGAAGCTATGATGAAAACGGATGGTTTTGTCAGAGTTTATAACTCAACTAAAAGATCTACAACATGTGCGATCTCTACAGTTTACAGCCTGCACAACTCTACAACCTGCATGAACCTTATACCTGTATAGGTTATACCGGGTAGCAGATGGCCTGCGGATATTGTCATTCACTCACTCACTCCAACCTAACAGAGACGTACTGCATATACGCTGATGACTTCGACTCCAATATGATATCACCTATGAAGCCGATCTCTCTAGAACTGGAGAACCTCAAGGCGACCTTTGTAAAGGGCTTAAGGTTAACAACGCCTTCAAGAATCCTTGAACGGCTGTACAGATGATATTATTAACACTCGTCACTCAGCGTGGGGATTAGGATTTTATATCCTATCAACCAGAATCAACATCGGTATTTCTTCAAGATCCATACAGACATACGTCTCGACAGCCTCCTTCGTCATGCTGGCTTATATTATCCACAATGGGAATACGTGATTTATATCACTGAACAAGATTTTACACTTGGAGCAACCCTTATTCAAGAGGTTTATATGAGCGGCGTAGAATTACACGTCCTTTTACTCAGCCAACTAATTGCACCAGATTTTATGGAGGCCAACTTGCTACAACACCGGTGATGTCATGCTTGGAAGCTGCACCAGCAAGTTTACTGACTTGTAAACAAACCCGTGGTACTGGGGAATACTTCATCGGCAGCCTTGGAAACAGTATACAACTACGGACTGTTATCATGGAAATCAAATAGATGTCTAGCCTTGACAGCAGGATAAACGATGTTTATTTTGGGAGTTGTCGCTGATAAAAGTTGGTACGAGTACCTGTCCCCTGCGATGCTACACTGGAGCCAGCCTTGCTATAAATAGACAACGGTTCGATGTATGCTGATCAACACAGATCGCCTGCGTATATAAGGGGAAGAATGATGTATCATCACTGCAATCAGAGGTTAGCACTTCCAATGGAACGTCCTTCCGTTTGGAATATCGTCGGCTCTATGATTATTCATATGAATAACCAATCCTATCGGCACCTATCTGCAGCATCGAGGTCTACGCAGTGCCGGTTATCTGGACAATGGCATACAGGTTCTTCAAAGTGCCAATCAACTCAGACAGCAGCTGAACTTCACAATTATGTTGCTCACGCAACTAGGATGGCTAGTGAACCTGGTGAAGTTGGAGTTAGAATCAAACAAGATCTTCAATTGCTGGGAATAAGAAATATCACAACACAGAATCGAATTGTGGTCCCAGAAGATCATTGGGTCAAGATACAAGCCATGATTTCACAAGCAGTCATCTCTCCGTTAACACTACAAACATGGCAATGTCTACTCGGTCTACTAACCTTGACTCGCACAGGAAGGTTAAAACTAAGGCCACTGCAACGGTTCCTGACAAAACATCTGGACAGCGTCAACCCTATCTTGCTGCCAGACAATCTTAAGAGGTACCTACTTTGGTGGACCCACAGGTCGAACGTCTGCGGAGGGACCTATTAACAAGAGCCAGCCTTCGTCACACATCTCTACGTAGAAGCATCGATACAAGGTTGGGCTGCACATTTCAACAAACAAGTTGCATCAAGGAAGTGGTCCAAAACAGAGCAGCATCTTCACATCAATCTGCTGGAGATGAAAGCTGTGATCAACGCCTTACAACTATGATCGAGCTCGCTGTTCAACAGAATGCTGAACTCTAAAGTGGCATTCTCCATAAATTGGCAAGGATCTACAAGATCACCAAGCCTACTACAGCTCACATTCCAGTTGTTTGACACCACGGAGGAGGCAAACATCTGGATAAAGGCGTGTCACATACCCAGAGCCAAGAACGTGCTTGCGGTACACTCTCTCCCGACCACTGCACCCGTGACCTACGGAATGGATGCTCCATCCATAAGCATTTCGGCTCATCATAAGGGAAATAGGATCCCCATGCATAGACCTGGTTGCCATGAGGTTCAACAAAAAACTACAGTCGTTTGTCTCACCAGGTTCCAGATCATCAAGCCTGGGCAACAGATGCACTGAACATATCTTGGGAAGGACTAAACACTTATGCGTTTCCACCACTGATATTACTACCGAAGTACTGTTGAAGATCAACCAGATGCAGGCGCTACAACTGACTTTGGTCGCACCATACTGGCCAGCGAGAGTATGGTTCCTAGACCTAATAGAAGATCTCGGAAGTCCAACAATCAAGTTACCAGATTGGCCAAACCTACTCATACAAAGCAAGTCCACGGGAACCCAGTACTGTTCCAGCTACACGTGTGGACCGTATCAAAACATGTTTGAAGAAGAGAGGATACTCCGCCAGGGCAGCCAAGGGAATAACCTTAGCGTTACGCAGATCCACTCATAACCTGTGTGATGACAAGTGGCTGAAGTTTGAGACTTATGCAAGGCGGAAAGGCTTCATTACGATGA